AACAGATAGGTTTCCAAGTATTATTTCATTGAATTCGGAGCGAAGTGAACCGGTTTTACATAAATAAATTATATGCTTTTCAAACTCCCCGAGTCTTTCAATGTTTCATGATGCATTTTTCGTGTTTTTCATTCCTCTTCTCCAACCACGTTCCAAATAATAATTCGAGAGCCACATCCAGAAAAATACCCATTGTTACAGGAAGTTCGATAGTCTGGAAATGAGAGAAAAAAAAGCATTCAAAGTTTAGAGAGTCAAACCGAAGCTAAAAAGTGTAAAATCAATGCTTACTCATAAAACAGCTGCTTGTTAGAAGTTGAATGCAAAAAGGGATGATTTTTCGACTGTTCACCAGACCCTTCCCGAAATTTTATTTAGTTTATTGAATCGTCATGCACTACTACCGCACTGGATTGAGGTTAATGTCAACACTGATGCACTTTTTGATCATCGAAATACCACTAGTTCGAGCTCACAGAGGGGGAATAAAGTATAATCACCAATAATAATTGGTGATGATAAATTAGGGAACAGTATGATTACATTAATGGAACAATCGATAGATTGATTTATCACACAAAGTTGAAGATCTCTGCTCCGAAATGATACTCCATGTACATACATACAGCATCAGCGTATCACGAACTATAGCTGCTGGTAGTAAAATTTGGTGCTATAGTATATGCCACTCTTTTAACGATTGAGAGGAAATCAATTGAAAGGATCAACCTATCGATTACCTCAGCAGTGGCTTAGGGAGGAACAAAGGACGAACAAACGATTCATCAGAAGGAACAATTTAAAATGATTAGATCTTTACGTGGGAGGGGCTAAATTGAGGAAACATGGGAGGAAAAAATAAAAAATCAATTATAAATAATTGGCTGGGGAACAAACGCTGAAAATCCTCGAACAATCAAGAACAATTGACGAACTATCGATTGCATTCGTCAAAAATCAATAATTATGGTAATGAGTGGCTAACTTTGGATGGGTGNAGGAAAAAATAAAAAATCAATTATAAATAATTGGCTGGGGAACAAACGCTGAAAATCCTCGAACAATCAAGAACAATTGACGAACTATCGATTGCATTCGTCAAAAATCAATAATTATGGTAATGAGTGGCTTTGGATGGGTGCTCAGACTAGGGGGAGAAGGCCCTAGTAGATTTCGAGACAGTCGGTGACAGGCACTGGACTCGAGCGGATGTAAATCGTCCGGTCCTCGACGACGGTTGGAAGTGGCATAAGTCCATTATGGATTATAGGGGTCCGTTGTGAGGACAAGGTCCGGAACAGCGAGAGAATGGGACGCTTCGGCGTCCCAAACAGAAGGATCGGATTACTTTGAGGACGTGGAGTGTTTTAATTCCATATTCTCAGGGATCCATCACTTCGGACGAAAGAAGTGGTGTTGGCGTGGATCCGTGGGCCGGGAGTTAGGCCGACTCCTGGAGGCCCGATCGCACGTACCTCCACGACGAGTACTCTGGGTGTTAGCCCGCGATGATAGTGCTTTTACCGAGCATTGAGGTTGAGTTGGGGTGGGCACAGGTGGGTGAGAACAAGTCTCCGGATACCTGTGTCGCATGTGCCTCTCAGTGTTCGGCGCTCCGAGGAGTGAGAAGAATTCGCAAGTGATGGTCGACTTCTCCAGAGTTGAGCCACTCGGGAGAGGAAAGGAATACGTCAGAGGAATGGAAACATCCACGGCGAAAGATACATGGGGGAATAGCTCCTGGAAGATACGCTTAATCGCAGTCTCTCGGCTGAAAAGACGAGGAGCGATCGAGTGAAATACTCCTAGTATGGTGAACCTCGCCCACTCTACCGTTTTACGCTGATGCTGGCTCGGCATTGTTACCCCCGCCACGAAAAGTCCTCAGGGTAAACGAGTTATCCTCTGAGGCCGGTTTACCGTTGGATTTTCCATGAAAATCCAGCTGGCGCCCGACTTAATTGAACGATAGAGGAGATGCCCAAAATAGTTTGGGATATTTGCTGGTGGAGCACCGGCAAAAATCCTTTACANTACCCCCGCCACGAAAAGTCCTCAGGGTAAACGAGTTATCCTCTGAGGCCGGTTTACCGTTGGATTTTCCATGAAAATCCAGCTGGCGCCCGACTTAATTGAACGATAGAGGAGATGCCCAAAATAGTTTGAGATATTTGCTGGTAGAGCACCGGCAAAAATCCTTTACAAAATGGCGCCCGACGTGGGGCGCTTGCTGTCCGCACGTGTTGCGTATACTATTTTATATGATAAGTGCGTGATGATGTTCGGTGGTTGGGGGGGGGGG